ACGTCTCTGCACTGGTTCGGTGAACCAAAGGACCAAATAAATGCTTTCCAGAACTAATAGGTCGGAGTCGGAGTCAGAGTCGATTTTGTGAGGCCGGAGTCGGAGTCGGAGTTGGCTAAAGTTGGGTCGACTCCGCAGCCCTGGTAAAGGTGCCAATGACAAAAGACGGTGAGAAAATTGCCGTTTTGGAATGTTGGCGACAGTCACTTTCAGGCGCAGGGGGCACCCGGTGTCCTTGGCGGATTGGTTTTTCCTCGGACGACTCGGCTTTTCTGGGACGTCGTGGTGACAACGAAGCCTGGCCTGAAAAAAAAAAAAATTGACAACATTAACAAAAGTGATGAAATCAATTGCCACTCATTAGTCCGTCATTTAAATGAGGATGAAAGTTTCTCGATTTAAAAACGTTACCTTTTTAACTGACCCTGATCATGGTGTTTCATTAACCCGCACCTTCCTGCGATATAAAGAGTAAAGTTACTGGGTGCAGTGGCGCACCCAGGGAGGAGTCAGGGGACAAAGGGGTCAGCTGACCCTCCCGAAATCTAGCGGGCCCGCTGGTAGGTGCCCGTCCAGTCCTCCGAGACACCCGGTATGACGGCTGGATGACTGGTCCTCAGTACGCGGCATCAAGCTGGGGATTCATGCAGCCAGCCCAGGCCGCCGGGCCCCTCTGTCAGTAGACCCCGACGGCTTTCATACGGCGGGTTTGCTGAACCCTCAGGAGGCTCTGCACCAGCAGAATTTCCATTGGCGGGCCCAGGTCGAGTGCTCGGGCAAAAGTACCCCCCTGCCGAGCTTTACACGGCGGCCCAAACTGGTATTTTAAACTAAAGCTCTCACCCAGTACACCACCCTTTGGCCATTCGACATGGAGTCGTACGTCGTCAGGGTGATGTTGGCGGCCTCTTGGTACAGCTGAATCCACTGCAGGGCCGATTCCTTTGACGCCGGACATCGGTAGGCCACAGTGGTGCCCTCCATCAACTCCTGAAACGAAATAATGCAAGGTCTCACTGGGGGTATTCTTGTGGGACCAATGCACGATCGTATTACCGTAATAGTCAGCAATGCAGATGACAAATACTTAGTGACAAGACGCGTTTATTCAATACAGATCACCGCACACACCACTCATACCAATAATATTGCATTCACAATTATTAAAACTTTGTTACCGAAGCCTGTGGGGAAAGTTGATAGTTCCATTTTAAAAATGGAAGTTTCATTCATGAAATGATTGCAACATGGCTCAAACCAATTACATATAATATGTGTTACTGCAAATTGAAATTGCCATCATCGGCAATTGCTATTGCTTAAGCAAATTGCTATATTTGATGTCACCGGTTCCAGGTCAGGAATCATATCAAGCTTCTCGCACAAGATGTACTTGGCATCAGCCTTCCAGATTACTTGGAAGTGATCCTGTTGGAAGAAGGAATGTTCCATAAAGTTAGTGGCGGACTTGTACCTATTCAATATTAATATCAATATAGTAACAATGGTTACACGACTCAATCTTCACTTACAGCATTCTTAAAAATTACCTATGTAAAGATTATATTCTGCTGGTGATACCTATAGCCATGTGGGTAAATGTCAAGTTTAAGTCCTAAGCAGATTCATGGATAATTTTTCATATTCTTACATTATTTGGCCGGTACACATGGAGGTCCCCGCTTCAAAATTAGTTAATTTTGAATTTAGTGTTTCCGACCATTATTTGACATCCTGAATCCAAAAAGATACTTATAGTCTCGTAACTAAAGAAAAAACATAATCAAACCTGAACTAACCTTACCTTTCACCTATAACCTACCAATATACTACCTACAAACCTACAATGCAACCTAAAACTTACAGCCTAACGTAACCTAAAAATAATTTTTTGCTGTTACAGATTTGTATCAACAGCGTCACAGTTATAGTTAGGACCTAAACTTGACATATACCTGTATTTTTGCGCCCTAACCCACAACAACAGCAACAACAACTGTATTTCTTGCAAAGAACATGCACCTAAAATGGAAATACTTATTAATCACCAACCTTTTCCAGCATCTTGAAGCATATATAGGCCTCCGCAATAAACGAGCAAACATGAGACACGAAAAAGGCGCTTTGGATTAAAAGGCGCGCCAGTGGCATCGGAAGAGCTGCCAGATCGGCTGAAATCCCTAGCGCGATTTCGCTTTTTTCCAAGGTGCCTAGAATTCCTCTAGGAATGGCTGAGCCCTATGGTGAATTCAAAATACGCATGCTAAACAGCCGGAGCGTACCCCCCTGTTCGGAGGGGTGTTCACGGGCACCGCACACTGCTGCGTGCGGTGTGTGCGGTACGTCCAGCAGGCGTGGGGGTAGGGGATGGGTAGGCGGCTCTGACGTCACGGCTGCGTGCGGTGGACGGTCCGCTGTGGCCAGTCCCGACCGGCCACAGCGATCGCTGTGTGCGGTGACGGAAGGATGACGTAGGGACGCAGTGGGCGGAGCTTCGAGGCTGTGTGCGGTCCGACCGCACACAGGGCCCGTGAACAGCCCTCGGAACGAATGTGAATGTGCATTCAAGGTCATCGATATTGGCAGTGCGCATGCGCGCCGCGAATATCGATGAAAATGATCGATATACGGGACGAATCTGAATATCGATGAAAATGATCGATATTCGGAACGAATCTGAATGTGAATCTGAATGTGAATATGATGCAACTATACGCGCATGCAGCCGCGTGCAATTTCTGTCGTCGGCGGCGTCGGCGGGAGCGACAACGCGGCTGAAGGTATGGATGTGGTGGACGGAAACTCCACTGGAGTTTCTGAATACGGTGATAAGAGGGAAAATCGAAGGGTGATTGACAAGATCAGTGGTACAACTTCCAGGGAAGGTCAAGGTGAGACAGGCGGTCAGATAGGCACAGACACAATAACTCTGGGATCCACCCAGGCAGTGTCTCAGTCTACCCCACATGATGATCATGACAGCACCCTGTCCCCACCCAACCTCTCCCCAGGTGTGCAGGTATTTGACCCGTTACCAGAGCCACAGCCTAGCCCTGAAGACACAACAGACTCTGGATCGAGGGCTGCCCCCGATAAGGGCATGCCCAACGAGCCTCCGAGAATTAGAAGACTTAGCAGTGAGGCTTTCAAACCATTTGGTCCAAGGTCAACAAATACGAGTGCTGACCCCAAGACAACTCCCCAGGAGGGTGAGTTATGCAAGGTATGTGATGTGGAAGTGAAAGACGATGACATGGGTGTGCAGTGCTGCACATGTCTTTTGTGGTTCCACTCAAAGTGCCAAGGCATGTCCAAGGCAGCCTACAATGCACTTGTAAAACACAAGATGTTCTTCTGGCATTGTGCTAAATGTAGGCCGGGACTCGGACGAAAAGGGGATACAGATAGTGGTGTTGACAGAGAAGCCAGAATGCAGAAACTGGAGTCAAAAATGGATGCACTCATCTGCCTTGTGCGGACTGCTCTGGATAATATGCAGGAAACAAACAAGCAGGTTTGTGATGCTATGAGAAGTGAAACGAAGGATCTGAAAGAGAGCATGGGAAAAAGCATGGAGAAAGTTGAAAAGGTAATGCGTGCACATGCAAAATTAGTCGGTGACCAAGAAGACATGCTGCAGAAATCCTTCAAGAAAATGCAGGACGAGAAGGCCTCATATGCAGAGGCTGTCAAGGGCAACTTGGAGTCAATTCAAAATGTAATGAAAAAAATGGAGGACTCACCTCCACAAGTTAAGGAGAAGACAAGTTTGAGCACAGAAAAGGCCATAGCAGGAGTGTTTGACAACTTCCTGGACCATGAAAAGCGAAAACTAAATGTTGTGCTCCACAACATCCCTGAGTCTTCCGGTAACACGTATACAGAGCGAGTGGATTCTGACAAAGCAAAATTCATTGAAGTCATCCGCGACAGCATGCACCTCAACGTCAAAGTAACCAAGGCATACCGTGTCGGAAAACCTGATCAAGAAAAGCCAAGACTCCTGATTGTGGGACTGGAGAACGTCGAGGTAAAAACTGAAATCCTGAAGATGGCCCCCCAGTTGAGAGCAACAGACAAGTGGAGCAATGTGTACATCTCTCCCGACCTCACCTGGAAGGAAAGAGAAGAAGGAAGGCGTCTTCGGGAAGAGTTGAAAAGGAGGACCAGTGCAGGAGAGGCAAATCTCATCATCAGAAGGGGTCGCATTACAAGCAGAGAACCCCAAGAACCAAACCAGCATGCTCAGAACCTGCCTCAAAAGCGCAAAGTAGTGCAGCAAAATGCGCATCGGGATACAGCCACCCAGATGCAGCAGTCACACCCACATGGCCAACAAGACATCCCGGGACAGAGGTTCCAGGCAAACCAGGGTCACTATTGACAGCCAAGGCCAAGATTGGCAAGACAGGCTGAGGCTTTCAAGGTCATCTACACCAATGCTGACCAATTTGTAAATAAGCGGGATGACTTGTGTATGTTTATCGCTGGAAACGAGCCAGATTTCATCTTGATTAATGAAGTGATCCCAAAAGCACAAATTCATCCCATCTCAGCTGCCCTCCTCAGCATACCAGGTTTTGTAATGTACTCTAACTTTGACCCATCTGAAGCCAATCTGGGATCAAGCAAAATTAGAGGCATATGCATCTACGTAAAATCATCCCTCCGTGTCTCAGAAGTGGCATTCAGGGAGTCAACTTTTCGAGAGCAGCTTTGGGTGCAGATGACCTTGTCTGGGACCGACACTCTCTTGCTCGGTTGCATATATCGAAGTCCCTCATCCTCTGCTGAAGACAACATGCATGATATAGATTCATTATTCAAGTTGGCTACCAACTCACACTTCTCTCATGTGGTAATAACAGGGGACTTCAACCTCCCCCAGATCAACTGGAGAACGGGCCTTTCCTTAGCTCCCCCCTCACACTGCTCTCATTCTTTTATTGACCTGATCCATGACTCCTTCTTATACCAGCACGTTGAGAGGCCTACAAGGTATCGAGTTGGTGAAACGCCGAACACCCTGGACCTCATCATGTCTACAGAAGAAGGGATGGTCAAGAACATTGAGTACTTACCTGGTCTGGGGTCTAGTGACCACATCATTCTTCAATTCCAACTGGCCTGCTACTCGCCTCATGCTGAGTCATCAGAACCACGCTACAACCTCAATAAGGGAGACTACGAACGGCTGAATCGGTTGATCTCTCAGGTTAATTGGATGCAATGTGATACTATGGATGTTGAAGGCATGTACAGATTCATCAAGGTCAAGTTATCTGAACTCTCACAAGCCTGCATTCCTCTAGCCAAACCAAAGCAGCATAATAAAAACATATATATTAACCGAGAGGCCATGAAGCTGAAGAAACAAAAAAGAACATTGTGGCTGAAGTACATGCTCACCAGAGACCCACTGGACTACGTGCGATTTACACGCAAGCGAAACAGACTGCGTACGCTAACCAGGAACCTACGGGCGACCTTTGAGAGGCGTCTGGTGGCAGACATGAGGACAAACGTGAAGGGCTTCTGGCGCTACACAGGATCTCGACTTCACACAAAGATGCGAGTGGAGGACCTGCAAGCAGAGGATGGATCCATGGTTCGTGGGAGCCATGACAAGGCCAACCTACTGAACCACTATTTCCACAGCATCTTCACATCTGAAGACCCGGCCCTGCCAACACCACCACCGGCCTTCACGGGTCCCTCGCTAGACACCATAGACGTTAGCCCAAGGGCGGTCAGAGACAAGCTGCTGAAGCTCAAACCCGACAGCTCCCCAGGACCAGATGGACTGCACCCAAGGATACTGCGTGAGACGGCGACCATTATGGCTGAACACTGGGCACAGCTCTTCCGCCACTCCCTGGCCAGTGCTACCCTACCCACCGACTGGTGCAAGGACGACATAGTCCCCATCTTCAAGAAGGGTCCTAAGCACTACCCGGCCAACTACAGACCCGTAACACTGACTGCTGTTCCTTGCAAAGTTTTCGAATCATTGATTCGTGACCAGATGATGGAGTATCTGACCTCTACTGAGCAGCTAAGCAGTAAGCAGCATGGGTTTAGACGGAAGAAGTCCTGTGTCACTCAACTTCTTGAGACCCTGGACGATTGGACTCGCGATCTCGACGAAGGTAAACCTGTCGACGCCCTGTACCTCGATTTTAGCAAGGCTTTTAACTCGGTGCCCCACCAGCGACTACTGCTCAAGCTACACTCGTACGGCATCAAGGGCCAACTCCTGGAATGGCTGAGGGCCTTTCTGATTGATCGGCAGCAGCGCGTAACCGTCAATGGTACGAAATCAGAGTGGGTATCTGTCACCAGTGGAGTGCCTCAGGGAACCGTGTTGGGGCCCCTCTTGTTCCTGGTGTACATAAATGACTTACCTGACCACGTGTCGTCGACCATCAAGATGTTTGCCGACGACGCGAAGATGTACAGAAGTGTCAGCCAGGTTTCAGACGCCCAAACACTCCAGAGAGACCTGGATGCACTCATTGAGTGGTCGGATCGTTGGCAACTTCCCTTCAATCGCGCTAAATGCGTTTCCCTGCACTTGGGTCGCCAAGACGACAGGCAGGGGTATCACATGGGAGGCACCGAGCTCGTACAAGTTTTGGTGGAGAAGGATCTGGGGGTGCAGATGGACCACCAGCTGAAATTCCGAGAGCAAGCGGCGGCCTCCATCTCCAAGGCTTCCCACATCCTAGCAGTCATTCGGCGATCCTTCTGCGTCATCGACGAAACCACGTTGCCACTGCTCTTCCGGACAATGGTCCGCCCCCATCTGGAGTATGCCAACGCGGTCTGGGGGCCATTCAACAGAGCGGACCAGAAGCGGATTGAAAGGGTCCAAAGGAGAGCCACAAAGCTCGTCGCCAGCATCCGCGAACTCCCCTACGAGGCGAGGCTCCAGACACTTAACCTGCCGTCTCTCTACTACCGTCGTCGCCGCGGCGATATGATAACGGTCTACCAAGTGCTCCACGGGGGAGTTGACGTTGACGCGTCCAAGTTCTTTACGCGAGCAGCGACGTCCCGGACCCGTGGACACACATGGAAGCTTTCCAAGTCCAGGACCAACTCCAGAGTCAGACGAAACGCGTTCAGTGTGAGAGTCGTGAACGACTGGAATTCGCTGCCATCGACTGTTGTTGATGCGCCTTCAGTCGACTCATTCAAGGCCAGGCTCGACAGTCACTGGGCACGCTTCATGCACATGACTCACCCATACGACTGAAACATCACACAATACAGACAAACAGCTCGACAAGACCGGATCCCAGAGGCCAAGTGGCCTTTCTAAATTCCGCGATTTATAAGTATAAGTATAAGTATAAGTAAGACATTACCAGGGGGTACAGTCTGTCTTAAATGTACCGCGCAAAGTAATGGTGGATCCATCAAGCCTTACCGATGAAGGGGCTGCTTTAATTTGAAAGTCACCGAACCAATTGACCTGGGTAATGGACGAGAATGTCAATTGCTTCGGTAACTCAAACTTAGCGGGCCCTTCCTCGGTAAGGCTTGACAGGTCCACCGTCACTTTGCGCGGTACTTTTAAGACAGACTGTATGCTCCATATCAAAACGCACCAGCAGCGCTATCGATGTTGATGTAAAGTGAAATAAAAACCAAAAGTAGGGGCCATTTCAATTTACAAGACCAAGGTATATTACAAGACTATTTCAATTTGTGAATCGATTAAGCCTTATGTCGTAAATTGCTTTTGAAATAGGGAAACACTTAGGCTTACTTTTTATCAGTATCAGTGAACCGAAAATTAGGTAGTAGGAATAATAAAAAACAAATCAATAAAAATAAGAAATTTCCAAAATAACATTTGAGGGTGAGATTTTGGGCATTTTAGTCCCCTGCTTGCTCCCATGCAAAAATGCTCTTCGCCTTGGGCTTATGTGACGGATATTTCAAAATGTAATCAATAAAAAATATATTTTTGAAAACATAAAAATATTTATTATATTAACAAGAAAATAATGGGGTAAAATTAAGTTTTACTTCCTTTTAAAATGCAAAAATACCTACTGCAATATTATTATACGTCATTTATTATTACGTAGTTCAGCGTGAAGAAAGATAAACAGCACACCTATTTGTAACTGATGCGCCATATTAGCGATCATTTTAATCGGCGCGGGAGTTCCAGAGGCTATATAAACCGTTTCTAGTGGTCTCAAGGTTCCAGTGGTCTCAAGTCGAGTCCGCCTTCGTTATTTTTGTGATTTTTCCGAAAGAGTCTGCCAGAAGTCCTTTGTTCGAATATTTTTTACTACCACATAGCACTGAGGGATAGTTTGGGCTGCAATTCTAATTCTTACTTGGTTGGAAAGAAAAATAATCACATTTTTCACAAATCAGCTCTTGGCTGTCTTCCCTGTCCCTAAATATGAATTTACACATTTAATTGCCCTTCATTGATTGTACTTAAAGTGTACCTACTGAGCAACCGCAGTAAATTCTCACGCTGTTTTCTTGATTTTTTTTTACTTCAGGTAAATTATAATCATCATGAAGACTGCAATGCAACAACAGCAGCAAAAGCCCAAACAGCTCACACTGTTCCAAGCTGGATTCAAGAAGGATGAGATTTCCCGCTGGGGCGTACCCATCGGACCTGGTCCAAGTCACTCTGCACCTCCACCACCTCAACCTGGGCCCAGCTGTTCGGTAGCAGTACCACTGGCACCAGGTCTGCCCCCTCAGGCTTCAGATCAGCAGGGGAGTGATGTCATTCTTATTGACGATGACGACGATGACCTTCTGCTGGCACAGGCTTTGGATCAGACAATGAGGTCAGTGGCTCAATGCAGAATGATGGTCTAACTGTGCTGCTCTACCGAACATGGATGAGAAACTCAGGGGGCTTGTACAAGTACATGTTGATTGCCTAGAAGTTGGTGAACTTATTTCACTGATTGTGATCATGATGGGATGATAAATGGTGAACTCCACTAAATGTAGGCATTAATACTTTGCCTTTAGCTGCAAAGTGTCAACTGCTATCCTTAGCATGTTCATGTCTTTTGCTATCTGTTGGCAACCTCGTGTCTTTCTTCCAGTGAATATCTTGACTCTGCACCCCCACCGGCTGCTGCCGCTGGAACCCCGCTGGAGGTACTGCCGGGGTTTGACGTGGAAGCCGGCACCACCTGGGTGTACCCGGTCAACTACCCGGTCCGCCAGTACCAGTACAACATCGTACACACGGCCATCTTCGAGAACACGCTCGTCTCGCTGCCGACAGGCGAGTCCGGCGCCGCGGAATGACCGCCGTCTTTACTGTTCGTGATTTAGAGTCACCGATGGAGAGTAAAATTTCAGTCATTTTTTACAAGGGGCATCGAATAATGTATACGAGCTGACTATTATACGGGTTCCGAGACACGATTGCAATGCCCGCGGCGTCCCGATGACGATCCCGGCGGTGTCACGACATCTGCTGATGGCCCGCTCTCTCCTTCCGCTCAGGTCTCGGGAAGACGTTCATCGCTGCAGTACTGATGTACAACTTTTACCGGTGGTACCCACGCGGCAAGGTGGTGTTTCTGGCTCCGACCCGGCCGCTGGTCGCCCAACAGATTGACGCCTGCTACCGAATTATGGGCATCAGTCGGGAGGACACGGCTGAGCTGACCGGTCAGTGAAAAACGGATCGGGTTGGGGACGGAACTGGGAACATGTGGTGTCATGACTGATTATGTAAATCTAGTTTTCCTACTGCAAATTCGCTAAAAGAGTAGAGTATGGCTCATTTACGGCCGTTCTACTCGAAAGGCTATACTACCGCTGAGATTGTGACCCTCGTCATCCTTTATCTGACTATTGTGCCTCATGTCAGTCTCTGCTTCGTTCGTCCACCTGTCTGACCCTTTTGTAACCCCTCTACCCCTTGTGATCCCTCTGACCTCACTGACCCCTCGGCAGGCTCCATGGCGCCGTCGGACCGCCGCTCCCGCTGGCTCGACCGGCGCGTCTTCTTTCTGACGCCCCAGGTGCTGAATAACGACCTGACGACGGGCTCCTGTCCCGCCGAGCTGCTCCGCTGTGTGGTCATCGACGAGGCGCACAAGGTCAGTAGGAGGGGGAGGGGGCTGATTGAGGAGGGGGCGGGGGTCAGAGGAGGCCAAGCCGCTACCGGGAAATGTAGGAATGGTAGACTGCGATCAGCTAGTTATTATAGATTGGACGATCGATTCTCTTGTCTGCGATTTTTTTTTTTAGCTTTTGTCGATGTCTGTCAGTTTCAGTTAACATCCGGCATGTTTCGCATGTTCACCCCGTCAGGCAATGACTACGCCGATGCGACTCGTTTCTCAACGTCCATTCATCCTTTTCCCATTAACTCTTACTACTTTGGTTCACTGTTACTCGGTAACCACGCCTACCGGCCGGCGGTAACTTAGGAAGCCCCCCCCCCCCCTCCGCTGACCCTCACTGACCCCCCAACTGTCCCCACAGGCGCTCGGTAACCACGCCTACTGCCAGGTGGTGAGGGAACTGAGCCGTCACACGAGTCAGTTCCGCGTGCTGGCACTCAGCGCCACCCCCGGCAGCGACCTCAAGGCAGTCATACAGGTACGGCACGCGGCTGAGGCAATTGATCCTTGGTGGTATTGGTGTTTTAGAGTAGTAGTGCAGTGGAACTTCTTACTGAAGGAACATATTTGACACGGAAATATGTGCCAGATAACTTAGGAACCTGCCAACTTGCATGCGTTGGACTTGCTGACCTTGAGTCGTCATCTAGCCTGATTTACCGCAGGTGCTGACTGACCTGCTGATGTGCCGATTCCCCGCAGGTGCTGACGAACCTGCTGATCTCGTGGGTGGAGGTGCTGACTGACCTGCTGATGCGCTGATTCCCCGCAGGTGCTGACGAACCTGCTGATCTCCCGGGTGGAGGTGCTGACTGACCTACTGGTCTGCCGCTTCCCCGCAGGTGCTGACGAACCTGCTGATCTGTATTGACTGCAGGTGCTGACGAACCAGTCCTGCTGATCTCCCGGGTGGAGGTGCTGACTGACCTGCTGGTCTGCCGATTCCCTGCAGGTGCTGACGAACCTGCTGATCTCCCGGGTAGAGGTGCGCTCCGAGGAGTCGCCCGACGTCACCCCGTACACCCACGGCCGACAGCTGGAGAAGATCGTCGTGCCGCTCGGAGACGGACTCAAGGCCGTCAGGGACAAGTACGTGCAGGTAGGTCTGGTTATGTAGCTACTAGCTCCCAATATCATCTTACTCTGGTGGAAACGTACGTAAACATACGGTGGTTTCTCATATGTGAAATGCTCTGGAATTGATTCTTCCAAATAGCCTGAATTTTATTGCATTTTCAGTTGCAATATTTAACGTAAAGATGCCGCTCAGCGATGGACGTTTAAACGATTTATTAATTTTTAAACATTGTTTTCGATATTCTTATTTTAGCCAGCATATGTTTGCTTACATTCTGTTCGAATTTTTGCGCTATTCTCAGGTGGTTCGCACGTTCGTGTCGCGGCTCATTCAGCTGAAGGTGGTCTACACCAGGGACGAGACGACGCTCACCAAGTTCGCGCTGCTCAGGGCTCGCGATGCGTTCAAGTAAGGGCGTCTTATGTCAGTCAAAAGACAAAGGCGCATGGCAGCGTGCATTCGCTCAGTCATTCATTCATTCGTTCATTCATTCATTCATCCACTGTTCTGAGCCCATTCATACAGTAACTATTTGCTAGTTGCGTCACACGCAGACTTCCTCCAGGCGGCGTTTACTGTATATCTCCTTGTGCGGCCGACCTTGCTGAGCTGTTGTGCAGGCCCCCGACGTGTCACTGACCTCTGGTACCCCTGTGACCTCTGGCTGACCTCTGATGCCCCCTGTGACCTTTGGCTGACCTCTAGTGCCCCCTCTGCGCCCGCAGGCAGTCCCCGCCGCCGGGTCTGGCCCACCACCAGCAGAGTTTGGTCGAGTCGGACTTTGCCATGTGTATGTCGCTGTACCACGCGCTGGAGCTGCTGCAGCTGCACGGCGTCCGCAGCTTCCACACCTTCGTACAGTGTCAGTGGAGATGGGCAGGGCACCTTTATGCGAAGTTAGTAAGGAGATGGGAAGTTACTTCCACACTGAGTCACTGGCAGAAGCTGGGCTCTGTAACGTTTGGATTATGCCGTTTCTGTTATGCTGCTTCTTTCCGTTCTAACATTGTTCGATTCGTTGATATATTCATTACTTAATTCGATTATCTACACTCTTCATTTATTCATTCATTCATATTTTTCTTTATTTTCCATTGATCGTTGAATTTATTTACTTGTTATGCTAGTCATCGCTTGTCATTTTTATCGATCTCTCTCCCTTTCCGTATCCTTCTCTTTCACAACGCCTCCCCTCTCTCCCTCGCCAGGTATTGTGCGCGGGGAGAAGGGCTCTGCTCGCGGTCGGGCAGAGCTGGTCCGCAATCCCGTCTTCAACGAGCTCCTGACCGAGCTGGAACAGAAGTTCGGCCTCCGTCCGGACGATGGCAGCACCGTCGGCGCGGACGGCGAGCAGGTTAGTGGCCGAGACACAGGCCTGGAGGAGGGGAGAGCGTGGAAGAGGGACGGGAGAGCATGGGAGATGGAGAGGAAACCGTGGGAGGGGAGTGGGAAGTACCTACCTCCGGTCGGGAGATAGTATGGGAGTGTAGGGAATTTGACGTAGGAGCACCAAAGAGGAATTCGATATGAGAGCTCTGCAGAGCCCTGAAGCTTTTCTGTCACAAGTTTGTCGGAAAAGCTGTTCCGATGGTGACTGAAAAAAAAACGCCCTGAGGGCACAGGTTATATGCCACTCGAAATGTTAGCTTGGTTCCCACTTGCACTCCATTACTCCATTACGATAATTGAGCGGCCAGCATGAAATTGACACAAACGATTGAAGCTGGGTGGCCGCTGGGCGCGGAAACTGAACAGCGGTCAGTGACTCGCAAAGGGTGACTGTCAACAGTAAGCTTCTCAGTACGCTAGTCGCTGCCTAGGTCGTGTTTTCACTTGTTAGCGGCTCGGTGAAAATATGTAACAGAGACGAGGGTTTTATACAGCAATGTTTATTGTACGAAACACACGCAAAGCGACACGAACGTTGTTATGTCGTTGCTCTCGTGTACGATACAACGATGTTTCACGGGAACACCAATGCAAAAGCCGATTACATCATTCAGTGTGCGCTCGATTACACAAAAGCGTAAGGGCCAACAGCGACTTGGACTGCTTGGTAAAACATTTTTCAAAGTTGTTATATAAAATAAGGTCTTCAATATCCCACAGCCAACTGTGAAAACATTGGGTTTAATATCACCCCAGCTTATTGAATCGGTTTTGATGAACATCAGACGGTGGTATGAAACAAATAGAGCTGTGACTGATAGGAACAGTCTCGTTTGTTCCAACCTACAAAAATATTGTTTAAAAAGTAGTCTGAACACTTTTCACGAATCGGTAAATAAGGCCACTCGCTTGTCTGCCTTGAGGCTTTTGGTGCGGCGTCGTGCGATATTGCTTCCTCAGAGCACACGCTGCCACTCCCCCCGTCAACTGGTCTCCGATTATCGATTTAAGCAGGCCGACCCTGACCACGCTGGAACACGACGCGCTCCGAGTCGACAGTAAGGCGCCCGACAAACACTGGCCGAGTATCGACCTGTGGCTGCGCCGGGACGGGTTCGCGGAAGGCGGTGATTTTGGGGCGGCCGCCGCGGGCCCCAGTGGGGTGGGGGCGGCGCAGAATTTGACGGCAGCCGTGGTCTTTGTGAGGGCTTTAAAAAATGATCGTGGTAAGATAGTTTCCATACCTATACGACCTTTATGATCACATTGACTAGCCGGCATATGTCGCTACAAGCGTGAGGTAATTTAGACACGGAATTCGTTTTTGGAGAAGCGCAACATATGTAACGTTTTTGCAGGTCATCTCCGTCACGGGCTCTGTCTCTCTCAGATGCTCTGTCGGGTCACACTCAGCGATGTCTTGGCTCACACATCACTCGACATTTCACACATGTTCAATTATACACAAATTACAAGCGCCCCCCCCCCCCGCGCTCCCCCGGCAGCTTCCCATTCGCAGTGGACAGCTTCTTGTCGCGCGCGTCGCCTCACGGCAAATGCCTCGCCGTCTCTATTTATTTCCCCTTTTCAGTCTCACCTTCATATGTCCATCTCACCGTCTCTCCGTCCCTCCGTTCCTCTATCTCCGACTCTTTCCATCTCTTTATCTCTCCATCTCGCCGTATCTCCTTCTCCCCTTCTCTCCATCGCTCCATTTCTCTCACCGTCACCTTCTCACCGTCTTTCTTCCTGTCCCCCATCTCACCGTTTCTCCACCCGAGTTCTGATGTCTCTCCACCTCACAATCTATCCATCTCTTTATCTCCATTTGCCCATCTCAACCCCTTCCATCTCACCATCACACCAGCGTCTTTCCATTTCCCGTCTCATACCTCACCATCTCTCCGTCTCTCCATTTCTCTAGCTCTCCATCTCCCAATTTCCTCGTCTCTTCCATCTCCCCATCTCCTCCCTCCCCATCTCTCACATCTCCCCCCATCTCCGCCGCGCGCCGCCTACCGCTTGTGTCCGCATGCACTACACTTTGTGTCCCTCAGACACCAGAGGCAGATGAGGCCGAACGGGAAGAACACGATGGCCAGGATGATGCCGCACAAGGTGAACTCCTTGGTGCCGTAGTAGCCCGTCTGAAACAGGGGGACGGCTGTCAGTGGATGCATTGGAGAGGTCAATGTGTTGGCCAGGGTATGTCAGAAAAGTTTCGATTGGGGCCCGAACTTAGTTGAATGGGGATCCCCGTGAGCTGTTACGGTACAAAGAGGTCAAATTTTCACATCCCTGGACACTGGTTGTTAACCGCTTCACTGTAGTGTCTATTTCATTCGCCGCTAAATATAGGTAAGTTCATCGATACAATACCTATTACTTAGCGATTTTTGCATTCCCGTCGTAGCTCGAATCGTTTTATGTAGGTGTGTTTAAATTTATACTGACTACTAAGGAATAGGATTTTCGATGAACTGCGGTCAGATTAGCGATGTCCAAGAATTTGCGACCCGTTCTGCCTGTGTGTCGGACGGTTGCCATAGCAACTTTGACCACCAGTGAGGGCTACACACGTCTGTCCGTTTATATTAATCTAGCTCGTGTGCAGCTCCGTGCGTTTTTGTGCGTGGCGGCTGGCCGGCGCTGTGACCTTCGGTGGTGAATGCTCTCTGCGGCTGCAGCTGGTGTTTAGCTGTTCCAGCGTGCTGCTTCTAGAGTTGCAGATATATGTAGCAACATAGTCCAAGGCCAATAAACCAAGTTCTCAAGTTATGTTTTGCCTTTTATGCATGCTGCAATATATATTGCAAGCTCGTTAAGGATATTCCAGCTGTTGTTGCCATGCTCGGAAAGTAAGGTTACCATGCTTCCTGTTGGCATGCCATCTGTTGATGCCATCCCCCTCCTCCCTCTCCCCTCCCTCTCTGCATTCTCCCCTGGCACGGGTCCAATCACCAGCTGAGCGAAGATGTTGGTTCGGATCGAGCCAGCGCGTTGCTCCGGTCGGTTCTGCAGCCCCGGGTCGGCCCCGCAGCGGTCGGTGCGGCCGCACTTCCCCCCGTGTGTGGCGTGAGGGCTACCGGGAGGTGTGACCCCAGTATGCGCCGGCAGGAACTGGGTGTTGAAACGCGCAACGCAAAAGATACGATGGAATTTGAATACTCATGAGCTGATACAATTAATATTCATGACGTGCTACGGGTTGGCCTGGGCCAACTGCGACGTGGTTTGATTAACAAACTGACCTTGGTCAATGAAACTCAGCAATCAGCAATCAGCATGTCGATCCGTCTACAAATTAATGAGAAATCTTCGAATTTATTGCAAGCTTGTGTATTTGCCTAAACAAAACATTGTACGCAGCTTAAATCTCAAGTCTATTATATACATCTGTCCACAGTGGCGCAAACATGAAATCGGCGTGAATATGCTTACGAACACACACAAGACTGTTTGGATTCGTGTCACGTTTCCTGCCTTTCAGGTCCGGCGGAAGTGAGGGGTGGTTTGGCAGCTGAGCGTCAAAATGGACAGCTAACTGTCAAAATTGAATGGACACGCCACAGACAGTCCACCCCTTTCTACTGACTTTCAGCAGGCACCGTAGGACCTTCAGGGGCCTTGCAGAGCGGCATTGATTCATTTTGACGGGCGATTTTTTCGACTTCAAACCATCAGTTTTATTGGCTCGCACTGAGTCACTTACTCGTCGCCCCTGACGTTTACGCCGTTCCCCTCTACCCGCCCATACAGCCCAGCTCTGTCCCGTCTGCTCTGCGGCCGTTCTCCGTTCCGCCCCGTCCCGTCTACACGACGAACCGTCTAAGACGTCTAATCGGCGGTCTAAGACGCGTCGGATCGCACCACTCGATATCGTTCACCATCGCTGCAACGCACCATAAGCTGCGGTGTCGTTCCTATCTACAAAACCCACGGCGTGTGTGCGCAGTCGCCTCATTTTATGGCATTGCGTCACCCCACCAACCACAAGCCACCAGCGCGGTGTCGTTTTCCTTATGCCCGGCACGCTAGGCTAGGTTACAACTCAGAACGCGTGCGAGGTGAACGTTAAATCCAGCGTGCAATGTTCGTTGGGCATCCCTCATGCACTGAGTTCCGTGCGCGCATGCGTGGGTGCTGAGCCATGAACACGTCTTGGAAACTGAACACGTTCATTCTGGATTCATTGAGCATGTAAAGTCGCTGAATGACTACTGACCACTGACTGTGGCAAGCGGCTACCAAGAGCTAATGTTAACCTCGCCAGCCGTCCGCTGCAGTCCGCACTGGCGTGCTCCGCGTTGCCGCACTACCAGCCCCGTGGCCGTGACCGTGTGTGTCCCGCTGTCCCACTTTGAGCGTGGTGTTCCCACACCTATATGTCGTGTCGCCTCAGAGACCTCAGGGGTGTGCCGGCGGCGGAGTCCGAGGAGAGAGGTCAGGAGGTGGGGTAGAGCAGAGGAGGCAGGTCACGGTCGGCCAGGGTGAGAGGGGCGAATGTTTTGAATGGATTCACCGCTGCACTGGAGGTCAGGGTCTCTAATTGGTGAATGGACGGAGACAACAGACCCTGGCGCGGTGGGACCACGCAGAGCCGGCGCTTCTTTGCAACTGAAGGTTCATCCTTCTGCTGCTATATTAGTTACGAGGCCGGTGACTCTGTCGTGGATTCAGGGAGCCAGTTGATCTAACAGTGCTGTGCACAGTGCAGAGTCAAGTGCAAAGCCGTGTTGCTACCACTAAATTATCCCAACCGGTTGTACTTGGAACATAGTACCTACCGGGTATTGAATAGGGACCAAGCTGGTCTTGCGCTGCTGAAAGCCACCGGCAATGACTGGTGTGTTTACAGTGTATTCTCTCGATGCAGGCCTCCCACTCAGTTGCTATTTCACAACGCCCTCAACTCATTCAAACCACGGCCATGAAAATCTAACGGCTCCATTGAGTGAGCGTGGTAATGGTCCGGCACTACCCCAGGTTTAACGCTCACCATTCACGGTGCAGCTCAAAACCCGACAGCATATCGTTTCCTCTGCACGGGTCGGCTCATTCATTTCCCTTTACGTGCGGCTCAATAGACGTTTCTTTTCTGACGTGAGGCTGGCAACATTCGATTCAGGTTTTGGACTATGTATCGGTTATGCAGCATACAGCTATGAATTACGACGTGACGACCTGTTCCGTGTCCTAGCAACACTAATGTTGCTAGCATCATCTATTGTCGAAGTATCGGTCCGACCATGCACCTGCTACGTTTGAACTGCCTATGACATGATGCTTTAGGAACCGCTCCGTGGTGAGCGAGAGTTTTGTAGTCCGTTTCGTTGAAAAGTCAAACGACGGTAAACTTCTTCTCAATGGAAAGAACTGCCACCAGTGTAACACTCCTGTCACTGCGTTTAGGTGTGTGTGTGTGGGGGGGGGGGGGAGGCGGAGGAAATAGAGTGAGGTAGTGAGTGACAATGAACTCACCGGGCAGTTGGAGCATTTGTTCTCTCCTGCGGGCACCATTCTGACCTCTTCTGACCTGAAACGGACCGACAGAAAGGTCACTGGACACTGGTTAGTGGTTACTGGTCGGTGGGCTGAGCTCCTTACATGTCATTTTTAATTTGGCAGTTAATTTCTAGAAATTCAACCACCGTCGATTATGCTACTCTACTGCCGGCTCTGGTCCGGCGTGCTCCCGTCCCTCGGCCCCACCAGTCCAGTCGTGATTCAGAATCTCGTGATGGCCGTCGCCGCTCGTGACCGTGGCTCTAACCACGGACCGGACACAGACAGGCAGGCAGTGCTGCGCTGTGGCCTTCGTCAGCACCCCCGTTGAATTCCCAACACCCGCTGCCGTGAGTCATCGTGCAATGGGAGATCGCTTCGCCGATTTAAAGGTAGTGTGCCAGCTTTCTTGGACCGTATGGAGTTAATGGCCCAGATAAGGAGAACCGGATTTTTAGAACTTATCCATACCTTCAAAACTCATGGAAACGTCTTAAATTCTGAGTACCCCAGTGCGAAATTCGCCCCGACGGGTTGTCGGTCGTACCCCAACCACATTTCACACCACTATGAACAATAAATGCACACACTGAAATCGCTATTACCGATATGCTCATCCAATCAAGTTTCGATAAACCCGTTCATCATCATCTCCTGCGGTTTCGAACACGCCTGTTAGGTGGCTTCTGATGCTCGTCGAGGTCGGAATTTCCAAATACGCGTGGTGCGTCGGGCCGCGCGCTCTGACTTCGGCCAAGAAAAATGCGTCAGCTGATCATTGTCATTTCTGCCACTTGCGTGTGGTGAAATGGGGTCATAACTTATAAGACGGCTTTTTCATATCAATTATTTTACATAAAATCATATTTCAAACCATAAATAATGTTCGACAGCCAAATAAAAGAAACAATACCAATACGGGCTTACAGTTTAAGGCTCGACATTGTGTTGTCTACGAAATTAGACAGCTGATAACTCATTCCCGTACGTCGTATGGTCGTAACACTATAATGACCTTTGCTTATTGTCACAAGTGCGCCGCATTCGCGATTGTTGCCCGACGCCTGTTTGCAGGTGAGCCCACTACAGTTGTTATACATATCTAAAAACCGAAAAACTTTTAGGCGAAAAAGGCACTATTCCAGGCCCATTTTTGATTTTTTTTTGCGATATTAGGTAAAAACAGAAGCTTCTTATCCTAGGAAAAATAAAATGGGAAATCTTTCAAAGGTGGCACACTACCTTTAACCAATATACGAGTAACCCGGGCGTAGAAAACTGTGGGATTTTGCACGCGGAGGCGGTTTATGACACATAACTCTGCCGAGTGCTGCTGTCACTGACGGCTTGCGTGCTGCCGGGCTGTCACTCAGTGACATTTTTATGCGACGTCCATTCCACTGCGTCGCGTCGCAACACTTGCCCTGCATAACGTCACTCTAAACTCAATCGTCCATTGGCTGTGACCTTTGATGGTGGGACTGTGGCAGGCAAGGGTCGATAAAAGTAATTATTGATGGTGAGAAATTATATTGTAAGTTATGATCAACGCAAGTTCTTGGACATACTATTATAGACAACTCAAAAACATTCACAACAAAAGCAACCTCAATTTTCAAGGCAAATAAAATTCGTGACAAAAGTAATGCGCGTGGTTGCCAAGGTTACAGGCGGGAAAATAAAAGTGAATCATACAAAGCGCAATTAATCAATAATAATTAAACAAGATAGAATAATATATCGATAATTCGCGAAACTTAAACAATAATTATGTTTCTGTAAAATATAAATAAAAATATACATAAGATGCGCCACAATACTCCCCGTCACCAATTGTGGCAGGCAAGGGCATAGAGATCTTATATACATAGAGATGACATGCACTTAAAATCGTGGCGATTCAGTGGGTCTTTTTAAGCAACTTATTTTCAGTCAGTAGCGTGCCAATATGGCTGAGGCATTGTTAGTCTGAAGAAATTATTACGTAGCGAGCGAAGCAAGCGTAGTCTTTCGTAGATTAACGGAAATTTCTGAGTATGAGCGGCCGGCCGGCCGTGGTTACGCTTTTGCGAGGCTTATATCTCAGCAACCACTTGACCGATTTACATTCGATGATTTTTCTAGGGTAGCTTCATTCCTTCTACCAAGTATTGGACTATTCTCGATGCATGTGGGTGACCGCTTATGCACGTGACACGTGCAAAACGAAGAGGTGTCAGTTTTGCAATTGTTGCAATATCTTGGTAACTACTTGGCCGATTGCGCTGAAAGTTGGTATGTAGGTAGGCACCCACTAGGTAATGCATATCCATGTGCCACAGTTGGGATGCTGCTGCACGTGCGCACGTGCAGGGGTCAATTCCAGATCTCGAGAACGGCTGAACCGATTGTGCTGAAATTTGGTACATGGTTAGGGACCAGTTAGTAGGGTGCCGTGCAAAAGTCAGTTGTGACCCATTTTGCACGTGTGCACGTGCAGGGTGCCGCTTCCAGATCTCGAGAACGGCTAGGCCGATTGCGCCGATTCCTGAGGTAAGCAATGAAATTTGTAGCAAATTTGCCCCCCTCCCGTATCTCCGAAACTACTGGACGGATCCGTAACATTCAAACGATGTTCGATAGCCCTGTCAAATTTGTCGACGGAACTCCAATTTTATTGACCTCGGGGTCACCGATGACGTCACAGGTCAGGTCAAAGATAAAATGTTTCGCGTACGTTAAAAATAGGGCGTACGTTGCCTAGTATATATGTTGCTATTAGAGGTCACTGATAATATCATGTCAGGTCACAGGTCAGGTCACCAAGGGTCAGCACATGAACCAACTTTACTATTTACTAGGGTTGTGCGATGCATGTTTTATGGCCCCCCTGACATGGTCCCCCCAAAAAAGGTTACAGGTCTAAGGTCATTTGGGTCAGGTTCGTGGAAATTTCAGGGTAGGTTCCTTGAGATTTGGTCAAGTTTGGCGCTTTCGGTCAACCGTCGTGAAAACGGCTGTTCTGAACCTTTCTGAGTACGGTGCAAGCTCAAATATACATATGTTGCATGTTCCCATTCAATGATACATTAACCCTCGCCGGACCTACATATGTATATTGGTTTTCTACATACGCGCCGGCCGGGGGGGGGGGGGGGGGGGTTGGTACGATTTCCCTCGCCGTTTCGCCCCTGATGAAGCTAGAGCGTCGCGGAAAAAACAAGCGTGTGCGCCGTTACAAGACGCAGGGACTGGTACCCGATTTTAAGGTCTCATGAGGTCAGTTCAAGTGACCAACGGCCAGGGTTCAAGTTTTCATAACTTCGCAAAAAAAAAAAAAACGGTCGGAGAGCCACGATTTTGGCATCATCGTGTTCGCCTTGCTCAGGCGCGTCGAATGGTATACTTTTTGTTCGGGTGAGGTCAACTTGAGGTGTTGACCTCGGGTCAAGGGCAGGTCAGCTCCCCCAGATCACGAAGCTGGTTGAAAGAGTTCATGTTACATATTACTCGAATCGGCAGGTCTTCCTGAGTTTATTGGTGGCTTTCCCGACTCGCTAACTCAATTTGATGGGGAGTTATTGATGAAAAACTCTAATGACCCAATTATATAACTGCAATGAAAACCGTAAGCCTCATGCTAATAATTATATTCAAAATAGGGCCAACAAAATAAGACATGTTGGCCAAACTGACAAACTGACTTTTGTCAAACCGTCTTACGGTTTTCATTGCAGTTATATACCGGGTGGCCCAGAAAAAACGTTCCGAACTTTGGAGGCCTATATATCAAATTCGAGTTCAAATAACGAGCCAAAATTCTCATCAAATTTGCGTCATTTCTATGCGCATTGGTATGCCAAATTACAACACTATACCATCATTTTCAAGCTGGCAATCTTGAGTTGAATTAAGCAAGACGTTTTTGCTTTTTTTGCCGATGTCAAACGATAAGGATGATTGGGTTAGACGTCCCATGTTATAAAAAAGAATAAAAAATAGAGCACGTGAATGAAACCAACACGTATGTTCTTATTTTAAATATTTTTTGTCTCACTTATGTGCCAAATATTCAAATACTGAGCCAAAATGGTGCTCATGGATGCCATTCGTTTCAACACCAAGTCATGTTTCAAGCAGGAGTGGCACGGTGCATGGATTACTGCTGAAAACCCTCCTTTCAGTAGATCAAACAGTAAATCGACCGAATAAGGAAAACAAACTAAAGCAGACTCGTTCCCGTGCCAGAAGACCACAGAATTATGATTTATAGCTTATGAAAAACAACATTGCCAGCAGATGACAAAAAAAAAAAAAAACTGGTTGAAAAGCTACCTTTTCCCAGGAATGTAAGCCAGGAAAGCATTTGAGCCACAAGATTGTTAGAAAACTGGAAACTTCTTCCGATGCCGCTGGCACAAAGCCATCATGGTTGCCTGAGGGAATGTGTCATCCTGAGACCCGAACCATCAATGAGACTAGCTGCCAGTAGAAGTCATGGCTCTAGGCCGCGGTGCCGCGGGGTGAAAGTGACCTGTTCACCTACATTTTTTAGTAAACATCGGAGCAAAAAAGTAATTTTTACATGGCATGCTTGAAACACGAACCGGTTAAAAAGTTATTTACCGAACACCATGAAAATCACACCATTTACTAAAAATGTGTGCCGCATTGACTATTCGAAGTTTCAATGTTGCATCTTTATCACTTTTTGAGAAATATTGATTTGAAGTTGGGAACATTTTTTCTGGGCCACCCGGTATGTAATCATGAGCCTCAAAACCGCGCTTTCTTTAATCAATGACCCAAGTGACCATAAATGACGCCAAGCAATGTCAACAATGCAAAAGTGAAGCATCGGACCTTGCAAGACGTGCAAGAAATCACGATTCCATGTGCTGGAGACAGTTTGAGACAGGGGCGGCGGATTCGGGGGGCAGGGGGGCAGCTGCCCCCCTGGCAAACTCGTGGGGGGGCAAAAGTATCTTTTTGCCCCCCCCCCCATAATTTGTGACAAAGCTTAGACAAGAAACCATATACCTGATTATTCTG